ATCAATGTTCTTAGTCCTAAAATACATAAATCAAGAAAGTAAGGAGTTTTCCTCTCACCTTCACAGCTCACTTGCCTCTGGTATTTTAATAGACTTTTTACACAAGTCAGATGTATCATTGCTCCCCAGGGACATCAGTTAATGGAAAAATTACTACCAAAAAGTTACATTACCAAAATTTTCTTCTACAACAGTGAAGACAGGAAAAAAACTCAATGTTTTATTTGCTACAGTAACTCAGAAATCAAACCAGCATATTTCTTTTATTAGTATTTTTTTATCTTTAATTAAGTGTACACAGTGTTTTCAAGATTGCTATGATAGGGAAAAGTTCATAAGGGTATAGATCTTGAGCAGTTAAAGTTAGGGGATAATGCTTTTAAAATTAATCTTGTAAATCTAAGTAAATTGTACCAAGTGAAACTGCATAATGTCAAGTTTTAAGGACACTGCCTCAGACTACAGTAACAAAGTTGCAGCATGTCAAGTCTTCCCTTACTGTACTGCACTTCTTTGGACATTTGTAAAGCTGGTAATTCAGTATTCACTCTTCTACTGAAGTCACAACTAGCTCTTCTTATTACACAACTTTTTACAGTAGGGCAGCTAACTAGGTGATGATGGCAAAGCAGGACATCTGTGCTTGTAACCAAAGAATCTGTCAAACTTCATTTCAACAGGAACTTGGCAGAATGTTACGTTAAGCCTGAATCTTTTTAAAAAAATATGCAAAGCTATAACAGAGTGGGAAGAAAGCCTACAGATTTAATACTTCAGATAAAATATTTCTTAAAGCTCTATTCCCCTGACAGGTGATAATTACCCATGTATGTATGCTAATAGTCCAAAGAAATTTAAAAGAGGAGGAAAGCTTCCAAAATCTGATTTTTAAGAAGCACTAGCTTATAAAATACAGCTAGATAAATATTTTCTTATAAAAGCCAAAATAAACTATTTTCTTTCCCCTTTCCAAAGCATATTTGCATACATGTATATGCATCTATTAATGAGTAGGAAAATCATCTGTTAGCTGCCACATGCTCTGACATGGCTCTGCCACTTCAGTCCCCCTAACGCTGGAGAGCTCCTCAGCCCCAGATCAGCCAGTAAGGGAGGAACTAGCACTGCATTACTGCCATCTGCAGTGTCCCCTTGGCAGCTACGTTACACAGAAGACTATGACCATCATTCAAGCAGTCTAGCAGCATCCACAAAGAAAAGTTAAGGAGATTTAACTGTGTCCTCCTGCAACCCCTAAATAACCTAAATAAAAAGCTGTATCATCTTCAGCATCTTAAATAGCTTATACCAGTTCAGGAGTATGCCATTTGTTTGTCCACTCAACTTCACTCAAGAGAATCTTATTACACTTTCTTGTTAATGTCGAAGTCCTCCATACCACACTAAAAGCTACTCCTCATCAGATAATCTCACAACACATCTACATATATTAAGGAGCTTTCACAGGAACAAGGGGAGAGGAAGCCAATGAGGCTTCCCCCTCCTAGACAAAAGTCAAGGCTATGTTCTTATCACAATGTGCAAGTAAATGACTCCTTTATGCTGTTTGGTCCTGTTAGTTCTCCACATTTGGGAAAAACTGATCTTTCCAGGACAACCCAAATAAAGGAAACTCATGGAGAAACAACTGGGCGAGAAAAAAAAAAAAAAAAAGCAAACACTTGAGGCACAGAAATCCCCATGTTCACTGGCTTTTAAATAGAACAAAGTGAAAATGCTTCCCAGCAGCAGCTAATTCCAAAAAGAGAAGCCACAGAAAATGTTTTATCTCTCCTAAGGTACAACTGGTTTTCACATTGAAGTTACAAAATTAAATGAAGCTGAAACTTCACAGGCTTTCTGCAATACAAATAAGTCTGTTTACACTGCAAATAAAACAAATTATGCCATGGAAGGCACCATCTAATATATGTAGGAATATTGCCTAGCAGAGTAGGGTTTAGGTATCTAACACATCTGGATGTGCCTTCAACATCACTGCATACCCATCCCACAGTTTTAATGCTCAGGTCAAATCACAAGTCTATGCAATTGACTACTATGACTTGCAGTCAGTCATATTGCAGTTCATCAGGTACAGATCTGAAATTTGTTTAGGATACTCTAGAAATCGTTCAGTAAATTATTACATAAAGCATCCCACATGATGATGATTTTTTAAAAAAGATACAAGGTAATAAAAATATTGCCACCCATACACATATAAACCAGCATTTTTCAAATTAAACAGTAGGGGGCATCCCATTCCAGGGATCAGAGAATTATGCCCAATAAATAACAGGCTAGAAATAGTACAGAAACAGAAGATGAGAGGTATGTGTCATGGTCCCAAAGCAGAACATCATACATCAGGACCAGGATGATTCTCTGGGTGGGAATGCTCAGGAACAATGCGAGGGAACACCATCTAACAAACAAGGATCTTTCCAGTTTTACAGACAAACAGAAAACAAACTTTCAACCCTTTATCTAGTAAACTACTATTATTTCTAAACAAGTCCCAAAAATGTACAGAGAGAACACTTTTCCTTTTGAAGCCAAAATACCCACACTAACATTGCCCTATCCCATAATTTCTCATATGGAAGTATTTTCAGTGACGCTGATTTTTCTAAAACGTAAAAGCAGATCTAAGGGTTAGATTCCAAAGGTTTTTTTAAATTGAAGTATCTACCCTGGACAAATAGGAACATCGTGGTCTATAAACGCTAAGTCTCTGCAAAGATCCTGGCACTGAGGTCTCATAAGTGAGAGCCAGCAAAAGACTCAAGACATCAACTTTACCCCTCCTCAGTACTGACTCTAGGCTGATGAGAGGAATATGTAAATTACAAAGTACTTCACAGGAGACTGAGCATTTGTCTGGTTCACACATAAAAGCCGGTGCTCTTGTCAAGTCTTCTTTCAAGTCACTGCCACACGGACATCTTGTTTCTTTTGACAGAAGGAGCAGCCGTACAATGTGCAAATATCTCCAAATTTATTTGGGACTGCCCTAGCCTCTGCCTCTTCTGCTTGAGAAGGAGGTGAAACCAGCCTCTTTAAACAGCATCTTAGGCAAATCCAGTCATGAAAACTTGGCCTGAAAGTCAGTTTGTGTCCAATAAGAGTAAAGAAAGAAGGAAATAAAGTGGATTCTCCTAGGTCAGGCACACTAACACTGAAAGATGCTGCTGAAGTTTTCAGGGCTACCTTGGGTAGGTGGAGTCACAATTTTACCAGTAACATGAATAAGCAACATTTACAGGTAATTTCTCGTAACTAAAAAGAGATTTTCTTTATTTTAGTGAAGAGGCCATCACTGTGGCTTGTGACAACTCTAATGTCTCAGATTTTCTTCAGCTAAGGATATCTAAGGCACAAGCCCCTGAAAACACAAAGTTTGTCTCACTGCAAGGGTCACTATCCAGTATTGTTTATAACCTAGAATTCTACTTTCATGTCCTGGGAAGGCAGGAAAGGCACCAGTGTCATCACCCACATCTGTCTACTCCATTTTCCCTCTTTTCCTAGAATTTTTTTGCAACAATTTAATTTTTTTGTTTCAGAATACAGCCACTGTTTGCATTAACCACTCAGCAAGGCAAAAGAGAATTCATATACTGGCAGCATAAAGTAAGTCACTGGAAACCCCCTTAAGGGATTCTTTTGATTTGGGAGACCTGGTTTGATATTCTATAACATCCTTTAATAATATTTTTTTGTCTGTCTGTACAGTCACCAGAACTTCCAACTTACTACCCTGGACTGATGCACTTTTTGTTTGTTCAATCCAAGACATTAAAGGCAAAGATACAGTGTGCCTGCAATACCACTGGAACACAAATCCATTTCCTTTATCACCACAACCAAAATGACAATTAAAAAAAAACAAGAAAATGAAATTACTTTCCTCATTTTTTCCCCCAAAGCAGAAAACAAGAGACTGCCTGTGGGCAGAAGTCTACCAGAAGCACACAGGAACCTTTTTGCAGCAAAGCATCTTCCATACATTGTTACTGTGAGTCATGATTCACTGTTTGTTAAACAGCAGTATTCAAGTTTTAAATAGTGTAATCTACTTTATCAAATCTTACTAACCCAGAACAGGTAGGGCATTCTAACCACAAGTTTTACTGCCATCTTAAGAAACGGTTTAGTTGGAGATTTAGCAGCATACTAGGTTAACAGCTGGAATCAATGATCTTAAAGGCCTTTTTCAACCAAAACAATGCAATGATTCTGTGACTTTGTTTTTGTCTCAGTCATCTTTAAGTGGCTCTGCACTGCTTTTCAACTTCAAACCTTTTAAGAGGGAAGCTTTATCTTATGACTCAAACATGAACCTAGCTAGAGGGCAGTCACTATTCAAGTGACTACACTGCTGTTTTAAGACGAAGAATCGACTGGCTAGAACTAACTGCAAGAATTCTGCATCTGGAAATTGAAGAAACTGAATTTAGGCAACAAGAGGAGGATGAGTTACAAAACAAACAAAACACAGGAATTCAAAACACTGGAGAACTAGAGGGTAGAGCCACAGGAGTCCAGTAACTCATAAATAAGCAAAATTAATTTTTCACATTTCATATGAAGGATTTGTAAAAGAAACAAGACCACAGTAACCTAAAAAAATGAAGTATTAAGAAGTTACACCATCTTCTTAGAGAAAACAGGGAGAAAGCACATAGTATTCAGACTACATGCAGTATTTCATTGTGCAAGTAAAACAAACAAAACCACTTCTCAGTTAAAACAATTCTAGCTCTTACCTAAAATGTTATCAAGTACATATAAAATTTAAATTTTTAAACTTAATCATAACTTTCCCCAGACTTAAATAGACTACCAAGGACTAAACATCTACTACATGGTGAAGTCCTGAAGTCTATTCTATTGACATTAACAGAACGCTTAAGTTACAGTTGTAAAATAAATCATGCATCTGATCACAAGTCAGAACACTTCAGTTTCTTTAAATCATAATCGACACTACATACTTTTATGGTTTTAGTTTGAAGTCTCAATCCATTCAGAGTGTTGATAGCTTTTTCAGCATCCTTGGGGTCAACGTAGTTCACAAAACCATAACCCAAGCTCTGTCCTGATTAAAAAGAGAAAGAAGGGTGATCGTTATTACTGCTGTCCTACATAAAAGGTAACTAACACCATTTAAAACCTATGTAGGCACAATAAGAAAAAACTGCTTATGTAAAAGAACAAAATCTGCCTCAGACAACAAAGTTTGAGGCTGAGAACACTGAACTTCACTAGCAAGGTGTTTTTTAACCAGTGTATTTTGTTTCCATAGACTGCCCTAAGTTCAGTGAAGAAGTTACCAGTCAATTTGATGAGACTTAAAAAATTCAAAAGTATTTAATTTCTTTATGTAATCTTAACCTTGATGCTTCTTCATTTCCACTAGCCTTTAACAGATCACAACAATCCTATTTTGCATAGCACTTTTCAATTGAACACAAAGTACAGTAGCAAAATTCTGGATCACTGTTTGAAAATTAGTGACTCAAATGAACTTCAGTATCTGAATTTGAATCAAATTTGAAACTGAAGATTTTTACAGGTGTTACTCACACACTACCTGGAGTCCCTCAGTAGCTAGGAACATAAAGGCTCATGTCATTTCTGTACTCAGAAAAACTCCTACAAGTAACTGGTCATGAGCTAAATATCATCCAACAGAGACACAACTCATGTTCTTTTAGCAGTGATGAATCAGGTGATAGATGGGCATAAACTAGATTGTAATCACTGAACCACAGCTCACTACTAACAGCGTATTCTAAGCACTTGTTACTAAACACTTACAATTTTGGCAGTAGTCACCTTAAGACAACTTCAAAACTTAAAATTACACCTTCCTTAACTAACTGCCTTCAGCATACCCATTCAGCAGTATCTTCAGCATGTAAGAATGCAGCCAGGTAGAATGCAGACAGCAGAGAATTAATACTTTGTAACAATACTACCCTTCAGTACAGACCTTTTCTAAAATGGTCTCCCCACACTCCTTGACTATTCTTTCTTTAGAAACTGAAATACAAAGGTCGAAACAAGCCAACAAGCCAAAAGGAAGCATCCAATATATTTAATTCACAAAATCCTAGTTTGCAAGATTAGTTTGGAAATGCAGTATTACATACAGCACAAACAGTAAATTCATTTATTGCTTGTAAAGGTGTAATGAAACCTATGCTAAGTTGAGCTTTGTATGGTATCTGTACAGCATGTATCCAGTAGTAAACAAAGCAAAAAAAAATTATCATAAGTTTTTAATTTATTTAAACAGATGAGAGGGTTTAGTAACAAGCCCACTATGCCCGACAATCACAATTTTGTACAAATAAATCTACAACAGCACCAAAGATAGAGGACTACTCAACAACCTAATCCCAGGAAGCTTCCCCCATTCTTCCCAACCTCCTCCACAAAACAGCACACACAAACAAACTAGGTAGATTAAACTATGAACAAGTTAATATATGCAAAGTTATTAACCAAAACCATCTAAAACCCAAGTGGACAAAGTCCTGAGCAACCTGCTCTACACAACCTTGATCTGAGCAGGAGGCTGAAAGACATCATGCAAAATGCCTTGGAGCTAGACCATCCTGTGTTTCTGTAAGAAACAATATGAAAACACACAAAAAATTCTACATTAATGTACAGCTCTACCTAGATATAACTAAATTCCTCGACCTAGAAGGACCTTTTTCCCTTAGTAGTTTGATTATAGAGCAACTTTTATACTTGTCACCATCATCACTTCCACTGTCTGCAGAAAGCTTTTTCCATCAGCATCTTCAAAAAAGAGAAATTAAACAAATGTATTCTTTTGTGCATGGTTTTTATTTCAGTCTTAACTCCTAATATACAGATGCTGATTTTGGAGTTACTCATCTTCTAGGAAGGAACCCAGTTAAACCACAACCTTGTAAGTTGTTAAAAATATCAAAGAGAAAGCCATTTTATGTAAAATTTTTCCAATATACTTACTCACTAGTAGCTCCAGAGTGAGTAGAAAGAGACATGAAGAAATTTCTACTAGCCCTCTGTTCATGAGATCTATTTTTCACATTAAAACACCGAGACCACCATGGGCAAAGAGCATATCCAGCTGTTACAAAGGATGCAATTAATTACCATTTCTTCTGCAGACATTATCTAAGTAAAGCTTGAGGTATATTAGTATACTAACCTAGGAAGCTGCACTAACAAAACCCAGTAATTTATTCAGGACAAGTTTTTTCTGCAAGTTTATTCTGTAATTTATGAAATTTTTAAAAAATCCACTAGGAGGGTGAAACACCAAAAGCAGGGCATCCCAAGGAGTTGTGAAGTCTCTATTTCTGGAGGTACTCAAAGGCTTGGACTGGTCATGGTTCTGGTAACCTGCTTAGGAAGAACTTGCTTGAGTAAAGGGAATTTACTAGATTACCTCCAGAAGCCCATTCAGCCCTTGATGATTCTGTGAATGACTTAATTTAATTCAGTTTTATTTAACCTGAGCTATCATCTAAGATTCAAAAGTATTTAAATCTGACATTCGAAAGACCTTATATATTTGAAAAGGTTAAGAAAAGGTAAAACTTGTAAAGGAGATCGAAATGTTGCCAAAAGATTACTGGTTCCATCACACATTATCTATAATTCAGAATCAAAACAAAAGCACCTAAGATGAATCTCAGCTCTCAGCAAGTAATACAAGTAACTGGAAACTGAATCAGATGAAGACGTTCACCAGTTCATATACAGATGACTGAGCTCTTGAAAATTCAGACAAGTATTTCACAAAATACAGTAGAGGAAGCTACTTCAACAACCCATCAGACATCTCAATTATTGCCAAGTATGTTTCACAGCTGATAGTATTTCTCACTTGCTGTGTAAGTGTCAACTGGGTTACAAGAACCTAGCAGCTCAGTTCTTCCCAGGTGTTTCACTGATGTACAGGACTTCCATCCAAATTCGGCCTAGTACCACTGCAGCCATACAAGCCAGAGAGAAGTCCCACATCACTGTGGATTTCAGATAAAAAAAAAACATCCAGTACACACAGATTGTGCTCAATTAAAATTGGAGATAGTCCAATTCAAATTAGTTCTTTTGTCCAGCTTTTTCTCCCTCCTCAATGTCTAAACGTACTGTTTCCAAGACAAACCAAGTGGAAGCTACTTGATGTATTTAAACCAAACCAGCCACCACTTAAAAGAGGAACTTAATTGTTTCAGAATTTTAATGACTAATTTGTATTGCCTGAAGCTAAAGATTGAACTGAATGATGACCAAAAACAGCTTTGGACTTTTCCATTGATGCCTCTTCTACACCAAACTCCATTTGCTGAGACAGAAACTTCCTGCAACATACACACTTGTTTCCAAGCCTAATGACACATTTAAAATAGTTATTTGTCTGAGTCCAGAACAGGATAATGGAAGAAAGAAGGTAAATCTATAGCTGTCCACAAGTTAAATAATCCTCAGATTTAAATGTGTATCAAAAAAAGTAGCTTAGTCTCCTATTGTTCTAAGACAGGATCAGCTCCATCTGGCTCTTGACTCAACTTTTTCTGACTTGTGCTTAATGACACTATAGTCTGAATAACCTTTGACACCTCTCCCTTTTTACTGTCCTCATGTTCTATCTACTACTTGTTTAGTTATCCTGAATATAAAGTTTAGCCTTTCTAGATCTTCAAAATTACAGCCTACTCAGCCTCAATATAGAGAAGAAACTATCTCTTCACATCAACTCTTTTTTTTCCTCAGACCTATAAATATTAAATTTAGCTTATCCTAAAGGAATGGGGTTTTTTTAGTTACTACTTGTGCCAGTAAGAAGAAACCTCAGCATTTTTAAAGGGAAATATTCTGTTCACGTGCAGAAGTGAGCCATACTTCAGAAGTTACATGTTCAAGCTATCAGTTGGGCTTCTTAAACAGTTCTTGTGGTTATTTCACAGCTCTATTTAAAGGTGTTTCTGTACACTGTCTAATAGATTTTTTGCGTGGGATGCTGAGAATACTATATAATGTTGTGTAGAATAAAATAATAAGTAGATAAATTAGGAAATCATAGTTAGTAAACAGTTAGTAAAAGAAGTCACCCAAAGTAGGAAAAGTCAAAATGACAAAATAATCTGGAAGAAAATGAGGAAATTAATATGGAACAGCGGTTGAACTTTTGCTTCAACAGAATGTTATTGGAAGAACCCCAAAGTCCACACACCAAAAGTGCATCTCACAAGTCTGCAGGGCAGTACAAAATTCAAAGCAAAAGTTATTATTTGAAAGTTCCGTGTTTTAATTACATGTTATGTTTTACGCAACTAAAATTTCCAAAGTCAAATTCAAGACTAAGTGGCAAAACACTAAAGTGAAAAAAACATTTGAAGTCAGGCATCTCTTTGAAGCCAAGCACGCTACATGCACCATGCAATGGGTCGCTGACAGATGTTCAACTTCTAAATATGTGGCCTACAAGAAAACATGGAATCATAGAATGGTTTGGGCTGGAAGGGACCTTAAAGATCATCTAGATCCAACCCCCCTGCATAAGAAGGGACACATCCCTCTAGAGCAGGTTGTTCCAAGACCCATCCAACCTGGTCTAGAACACTTGAAGTTCAAGGGCAGCCACAACTTCCCTGGGAAACCTGTTTCAGTGTCTCACCACCCTCACGCTGCAGAATTTCTTCCTAGTATCTAATCTACACCTATACTCCCCGATTTTGAAATTGTTCCTCCTCATCCTTTCACTACATGTCCTTGTGAAAAGTCATTTCCCAGCTTACTGGAAAGCACTATGTAACTCACTTGTATAGGGGAAGCTGTTCCATTTATGTTTGAAGTTTACAAGCTTCATAAATATCACTTGCCCATTACATCTAATAATGATGATGCAAACTAAAGAGTAATTTATTAGGTAATGTCAAGTTTCTTTTTGGCATTACACTCAACATACAGAAAAGACTTTGAGAGGAGATGGGCAAAAAGTAATTTCAAAAAACTTAATTCTAATCAGTCTTTGAAAGGACTACTCAAGAGTCTGAGTGGAGATACACATACACCCTAGAAAAGTGTACA